GTGTATTTAAGAGACCTGCCAAGTACTTTCTACTGACCCTTGTGGTCAACAACTTGGTAAATCTGCTCCCAAGAAGTAAAGTATGGCTGAAATCCTGATTAGAGGAATCAAACTAACAGGAGAGTCCTGAGTAAATAAGGAACTGCCTGATTTTGAGACCACAGACTGGATTTTCTGTTCCTTAGATCGAGACATATGTCAAAGCAGACCCCCAGGCATGAAAGAACTTGGACCTTTTGACATGAGATTTGAAGCAGTGGATGTGAAGGTGATCCCACACTCAACTAAGGTTTGGAAGTTGTTTCCAAACAGTGCATTTGCCTGAGTCAGAATCCTCCCTGTTGCTTGAGTGACTTTGCAGGTTCTGAGCCTAAAAACATTGATATGAAGCAAACCCAAAAGTTCAGATTTGAAGCTGTTCAGTATCATCAGCACCATTCGTTATCTGTCTTGTCCAGACAGTGGCACTTGCCAGGAAAATCTCCATATGAACGTAAATGTGACTGACAATGTCCTGTGACAGCAGAAGTTTCCAGACAGCAGAGACAGCTTGAGATTACAATCAAGCTATTGCAAACAGTCTAGTTAATATATTTAAAGAACTGATTGTCACTTCAGCTAAAACTTACTGCCTCCTTTGCTCTTGCGTGATATTTGACTGTGGTTACAATTGTCTGCTCCTGTGAAGCAAAACCACTGCTGAATGTGGTTTAAATTTACCCATGTTACTTTGCATTGTGTTGTTCCTAGTGCTACTAGGAGCAGTCAGTTATTGTATTTCAATTAAAAGGTCTTTAAAATTCTTAAAATGCATTAATGTGGTAGCTACACAATCATCTGAATGAGCTTTTGCTCTTCTCTGAAGCTTTGATTTAGGCAACAAGTGCCTACAGACAGTAACACTTAAATCAGTGGAGTTACTTAGGGTAAGTATAAGTCCTTTAATGTATCTTGCTGAAATAATCCTAAACAGGTCTACTTTTTGTTGTTAGCAACTTGTCAAACTCTTGTTAATTTTTCGTTGTCAGTAACTTTGCCATTATCCTTTATTACAGTTTTGCAGAAAGGGCTCAAAGAAAACTTCGCTGATGCTCAAGTCTCTGTTGTAGACTGTCCTGATCTGACTCAGGAACCCTTCAACTTTCCTGCCAAAGGTAACCACGCATTCCTGTCTTCCATAAAGACTTCTCCAGTTCTTTCTACCTGATCCTACTTGGTTTTGATCTTCTAAAGATGTTGGGAGAGCTTAAATTGTTTTTCAGGTAAAGAATATGCATGAGAGGAGAGCTACATTTTATTTCTGGATTTGATTCCTAGTTGATGTATGAACAAGGACAAGTCATTACCAACTACTTGTCATAATTTTATTTTCTTAAATACAGTACACTGTATTTAGTGTACTGAAAAGGTTTTGAAATTAAGTTGTTATCCTACAGCTGGAGAAACTCTTTAGGTCCATGCCAATCACTGTCTGAATCTAAGGAGTTACACTTCCATTCATTTTTAAATTACTGTCATTCATGTATGTCAATGAAGAAAAACCATCTTATTCTGAGTGGAATTCATCTTCTTTGACATTAGCTGCCTAGAAGACAGACATGTCATCTATGCTACTCATCTAAGTTCCCTCTGTCACCAATGTGTTGAAAGAAACACCTCCAGAAGGTGATTCATCACTTCTTAAAATACATGTCCAAGTAAGTGGGATGAATTATCCCAAGACGTGGGCATCCAGCTTTGCTGGAACTTCGCAAGTGGAGTGTCAGTGGGGGTATCCGTTGTGTGGTGAGGGCATCTCAATGGAGAACTGGTGAAGAGCAGCTGTTGCCCAATGTAATAATTTTTTGGTGCATAACAGAGCGTTAATTTAATAACAGGTATTAAATTGAATCCTACTGTGAAGCATTTTAGGACTTACTGTCCTTGGACTTCTTAACAGTGTAACACTTTATGTGAGCATGCTATGGAAATAGTGTTCTCAAAGGGTTTTAGAAGCTTGAGGAAGCAGTTCTTTGGTGGGTTAGACTGCATCTCATTTAAGATCATTAGGAAAAGTATTTTTACCATGCTAACTGGCTTTATCCTTCCAGGAATCTGTGGAAAACCTAGGATAGCTGATGTGGGAGGTGTTCCTTACCTCATACCTCTTGTACAGAAAGAAAAAGTGAGTTTTTCCTGTCGCTCTGTGGTTCAATACATTTGTTGAAAGCAAAGCAAGATTTTGTTGAAATATAAACAGAACTAAGGAGTAATAGATACAATAAGATTTACTTTTCAATGGTGTTTGAGACTGATTCTGTTGTGTGTTAAACATAGACTCGGTCATGAAATCTTACACATTGTAGCAAAAATAGTATACTGTGGTTGATAGTTCATCTTCTCCTGCCCTCAAATACAAGATGGTTTTGGAAACATACCACCTGTGACAGGAGCCATGGAAGGAACTACTAAACAAGAGGCTTGTCTGCATGTTTATATATGGTTTGCAGTGATCTCAAGCCAAGCTTCCCTGTAAAAACTGGCTGTATGTGCATTTTCAGGCCAGTGTTGCATTTACATTACTGTCCTTTTCTAAGAATATCACGTGTCCTTTCTGACACCTCACCCCATCTGTCTCTGTCTCATGTTCCCTTCCATTTGGTTTATTTTACACAAATACAAATTTCAATAAGAACAATAATTCAGGTTTTGGTGAAATGGCAGTGGAACAAACAGGCAGACTCCACCTTTCAGAAAACTCAGGGACATGTACCTGATTTGTTACTACCAAACGTTGTGTTGTTCAAAAACTGTGTTCAACCTAATTATCCAAAACACTAATGAGGGCCTTGTGAATGAAATGCATCCAGAGGTTACAGTGAACAGAATGGCAATTCCTAATCACCAAAATCAAAGGAGTGTTTCTCTTTTGCAGGTGTATGATCTAAATACAGTTGCAAAGGACATAGAGCTGCCTGGAGCTTTCATTCTTGGAGCTGGAGCTGCTTCAGCTAAGATTCTTGGAGTAAATGCTGAGGTCAGTAAGTAAGTGTGATGGTTCTCAATGAATTCATGAAAGTATCATAATAGTAAAGCAGTATCATGACGGGTATTTCCCATTTACAACAAAACATTTAATAAGCACCATTCATGCCAGAAGCACATAAAACATATTAGCAGGAGTTCAGATGAGGGCCATCCAATGAGGTGCATACTATTGAGATAATAAAGCTTGATGTTTAACTTGTAATTCCCCAGGAAGCATGTGATTGCTTTGAAGAGAGCGAGAAATGTGATTTTTTGAAACTGATTGACACAGACCTGACCAGAGGTTTTAAAGACAAGATTTAGAAATGCTTTGTCAAAGTTGCTGGTAAATGCCTTTGAAATACTCCCTGGCTTTTGCATTCTTGGATGGCTTTGTTCTACCATTGTAAACTTTAAAAATGCCACATACAAAATGGTCTTTTGCAGGAGAGGTGGGAGATAAAACTGCTGCTGCCAGAGTCTTTTCAAACGTAAACCTCTGGTCTTGCCATCTCCTTGTGATGCATTTATTGGTGGATGAGATAGTCCATCTCAGCATTAAATCTGGGTCATTTTTGAGCGAAATTTGAGCCAACAACAGTGGTTGTTACTGTATACTGAGAAAGTACTACATAGAATTCTAATACTTATATGCAGGCCTCACATCTTTACCAGTACCATTAATCTTCACATGACATTAAATTTAACTGTCCAGAAAAGGTAAGACTGTTTTCTGGAGTTTTCAATTATATTACAATATTAGTGCAGTTTTCTTACCAGTACAGAGCTCATCCTTAGAGCCAGATCTGTGTGACACAGGAGATTATTTCTTGGGCTCATGGTCCAAAGCTTAAATTGCATTTATGTGAGTTCTGTTCATTTGACTGACTCTTTACATGTTCTTATTGACTTATTCTTACATGGTATCTTTTTTTTTCTTTTCCAGCTTATCCCTATTGTTCAAACTAAGAGTGACAAAAAGCCTGCTGTAAATGGGAGCTATGTTGCTCAGATAAATCCTGCAGATAAAGGGTGCCTGCTTGAGAAGTACAGCAGTAAATACACTGACTGTGAGTTTGGGCTGCTGGCCAACCTTTATGCCAGTGAGGGCCAACCTGGTAAGGTGTGTACTTGGATCAAAGGTAACTTGGCTTGTGGAGCTTTGTGGCTGAAGGCAAACTCATGATTCAGTGTTTGCCTGTTGGTTTTCTGTGATAATAATAAAGTAGTAATTTCATGAAAGAAATATCCAAATATAATGAACTGATGTCAGTGAGCAAGGGGAAGAATTGGTGGAGACAAAGAGGCATTTGGATTTCTTATAGGTTTACTGAACTCTTCCATCATAGATCATCCATCCAAATCTAGCTCAAAGTAGCAGTGATTTAAGGTAATGTTTGTACAATGCACTTGTGTAAATCAGCGCTGGGCACTTGTCTAGTTTTCTGGAGAAGTGCTTCCCCCAACACAGTGCCAAGAGTTGCTGGCAGAGAGTCAAAAACCTGGCAGCTGCATGGAAACCCAGCAGTGTTCTCTGCTCCCCAAAGTTTCTTTACAACTCTTGGGAACAGAGTGGAAGCCAGCTGGTGGACAGAAAGGGGTTGCTTATATCATTGTCTTATGTAAGGGTGCTGGGCAGCAAGTCATTTACTCAAACACAGGCAAAGCTGGCATTAAAGAGACAGTCAGGAAGGAGGGTTGATCAGGTGCTGGAAAGATGCAAGTGGAGCAGCACTTACAGGGAAACACATTCTCAAGAAGTCCTCTTGGTTTATAAGCTTGGGAGAATTTCAGAGCAGCGCTCACAAACCTTTGCAGACTGTTGCACCATGAGACGCAGCGTCAATGTGACTTTATTTTCCAGGTTATTGAAGTGAAAGCCAACGGAAGAACTGGGGAACTGAACTTTGTGTCTTGTCTCAGACAAATTTTAGAGAAACAGTATGGAGAAAAGCCAGTTGGGATGGGTGGTACGTTTATCATTCAGAAGGGGAAAGCCAAGATTCACATTATGGTACGTTGTTCTCAATTCAGGTAACTTTCTTCATCCATCAGAAAACAGAAGTGTAAGTGGGGGTATAACATCTCAGTGCCTTGACTTTGTTTTCTATTTTTAAATGGATGCATAACTGTTAGGAAAAGCAGTACATTAAGGAGTTGATGTTGCAAAACTATTACTCAGACTTAATACCATCATCCTTTCTTTTGAAATCTGTGGGCACCTAAAGAAGTATAGAACTACTGTAAAATGAACTGAAATGAAAAACACGAACTGAAATGATACTTATAAGAAGCAATAGACTTTTTTTACAGTAACTGAGCTTCTAAAATGTACTAGGAGGAGAATCTTCACTTCAGTAGCTCTCCCTATGCAATGAAAGAAGCAATATTCTGGTCACTTCTGTTTCTGGCAGAAACACAGTAAACAGGCACTGGTGAGCTGCTTTTAGTCAAGAATCAGGAACTGTAGTGGTAGGACAAAGGGTACTGGGTTTAAACTTGAACAGGGGAAGTTCAGGTTAGATATAAGAAAGAAATTCTTCACAGTGAGGGTGGTGAGGCACTGGAATGGGTTGCCCAAAGAAGTGGTAAATGCTCCATCCCTGGCAGTGTTCAAGGCCAGGTTGGACAGAGCCTTGGGTGACATGGTCTAGTGTGAGGTGTCCCTGCCCATGGCAGGGGGGTTGGAACTAGATGATCTTAAGGTCCTTTCCAACCCAAACCATTCTATGTTTCTACAAGAACGAATGTGAGTAGAATTGTGGGGAGGGGAAAAGTGAGGGAAGGCTCTTAGAGAGAAGGTATCTCGATACAAGTGTCTTCCTTTCACTTACGAAGCTTATATTTTGTTGTAGCCCCCAGAATTTTCTGCCTGTCCTCTGAATACTGATGAAGATGTGAACAACTGGCTCAAATTCTTTGAAATGAAGGCTCCACTGATCTGTCAGCCAGTTATAGTTTCCAGAGACCCAGTGAGTCTTTCTCATTTCTGAGTGTAAACTGAGACTTGTAATTTTGTCTTACATGTGATCTTCCTTTTAAGGACAGGAGCTTGTATATATAGTATGTATTGTATATATTGGGCATATATTGTATACACATTGTATATATACATTGTATATACCAGAGGTGGTGTAATGAAATAGAAGCTTCTCATTTCTGTCACTGGAGAGAGCCATGAAAATGGACTAGAGGGCTGGAGCACTTCTATGAAGACAGGCTGAGAGACCTGGGGTTGTTCAGCCTGGAGAAGAGACAGCTCCAGGGAGACCTTGGAGCTTTGTACAGCTCCTCTGCTTTTGTCTCATTAGTTTCACAAACGTCTTGCAAATGTTCAGTGCTTAATGACTGGAGCAGGCTCTGAGAGCTGTGGAAATCCACGTCTAGGAGAGGAGAGACTATCCCAGGACATTTTAAATCCTGCTCACATGGATGTGTGTTCACGGGCCTTTCTTTTGTGACAGGGCTTCGACCTGCGTGTGGAGCACACCCACTGCTTCAGCCACCACGGGGAGGGAGGGCACTACCACCAGGACACCAGCCCCGACAGCGTGCAGTACCTGGGGTACTTCCTGCCTGCCGAGCTGCTCTTCCGCATCGACCGGCCCCAGGAGACCCACCTCGTCGGGAGAGACTGAAGCTGTGGTGACAACTGAATCTTGCTAAACCACAAGTGCTGATTTTTTTAACGCTTTTAATTATGCACGTTTATCAGAGTCACGAATAAACGACAGCAGCAAAGAGATGACTTCTTAATTTTGTGAGAGGGAGAAATTCAGAGTGTGCGTGTCAGTGAGACTATGACTGTTGTAGCCCCACGAACGACGTGGACCTGTTACCGTGGGTCTGAAGGACGGAGGGGAGGCGGCCGCTCCGTGTTAATGACCCTCGGCAGAGCCGCACGGCTCCGCCGGTGCCGATCGCGACCGTCCCGTAGGGGCT